AGAAAGGGTGGGTATCGCTGATTTCTGAGTCCGAGAATGCGCTGCTGGAGTTGTATGTTCAGTCGTATAGGGGATTCAAAAATCAATTCCTAAAAGTGTCTATTCTCGATTCTGGGCGATCGTTTTTCTTTGACGAGGGAGGTCGGTCGAAATTCCCCTTGTACTGGACTCAGAATCCATTGAAGTTCACTTCGTGGTCCGAGGACAAGATGACGATCGACGAGCTGGAAGCCCTTGGTCTGTTGATGTCATTACCGCACCCCCTTTCTTCTCGGCACCTAATAAATTGTCTTGAGTATGATGATTTTGGCGCTAGAGTGACCGGTATGTTTCCGTTGTTGACATTTTGTAGGTAGTGTTTACCTGTAGCTGACTGTTTTTGTTATTGATTGTTTGCTTGACAGAGATCATGGGTAGGAAAGGATCAGACCAAGATTGGTTTAAGGCTATCAAATCTGAGAGGAAAGCGGGGCAAACATCTGGTGCTGCTCGCCCTCAATCTTCAGGAGCTGCACGACCCTCTTCCCCTGCCGTGACGGTTGCTAGTCAGGAAGAGGTAATTATCATGGAGGAGCAGTCCTTCGTTAGGAAGAGGACACATCAAGCCGTTTCAAAGAAGGCTGAGCCTTCTAAAAAGGCGAAAGAAACGGGCGATGCAACTGCCCGATCGTTTCCACGGGGTATGTCGGACTCCGCTCTCAACCTCAGCCACAAGATCGACTTCAACTTGGATGAATCGGAGAAAAAGCTTGTTGAAAGCATGACCGAACAACAAATGGCTGATGACCTGTTGGAACTGTCGAGTCGAGCGGCCATGGCTGCATGGCATATGGCGTACGCGTCCGACAGGGGCGTGTTGAGAACCGAGCTCCAAAAGGTCAAAGATCAACTGAAGGAACTGTCGGCTACACATGCTGAGTGCGAGGAGCGACAAAGACAGTCCCAGCAGTTGATGTGTGAGGCTCAAACAGTGTTGAAAAACACTCAAAGGGCTGGTATCTGCTTACGGGAAGAGCGCGACCAACTACGGGTCGAGCGTGATCAGTTAAAGATGACTCTTGAGCAGTCATCAAGAACTGTGTCCACCCTCAACCAGCGCCATGACGAACTCCTTGCCGCGTCCGTAGCAGATAAAGAATTAATAGAGGAATTAAAAGAGGCGATCGTAGCGGAACATACCCGAGGATTTGAAAAGGCGTTGAGGCAAGTGTCTCTCCTGCGCCAGGTGAGCAATGAAGGACCAGATTTTGACGTGGACAAAGACGTTTATCAAGGTCAACTGGTACCTATCATGGAGATACCCGACGATGCCTCTCCTGAGAATGAGCAGGTCATAGAGCCGACAGCCGCTGAACAACCTGTGGAGCAAGCGACTGAAGATGTTGCGGATAATTAGATTTTAAGCTTGTACCTTAATCGCAGCATTGGGTTGTAATGTGCTTGAATATCAAACTCTTTTATTTGACCTATTTGTATAACTTTGACTTATTACATATGCTTTGGCATTCTTGGACATATGACGGTGTATATGCTTTTGCTTTAACGCACGGACTGTGTGAACGTTTAGCTTTAAGTGTCTGGGTGTTCTTAGGCGAACATCGACCAGAGGGATTGGATCCCTTTGTGTAGCGTATTTGGGTGTTCAAGGGTGAACATCTACCAAAGGGAGTGTGTCCCTATATGCTAAAGTGTTGGGTGCGCGGTGGCGAACATCTTCCAAACCTCGACGCTTGCCGAGTTCAATACGACATGGATTCAAAGAAATAACATGTTCATTAATTTTGAATAACAATGACGGAAACTGAAATGCAATAGTTCTAGTCACGTAATTAAATAACACATTAACTGAAATAATTTTTTAAATGAGTGGCGTTCCAAGTGTTGGGGATGATAGTTTCGTCGAGGAGTTCCAGCTTATAGGCTCCGTTCATTAGATTTTCTGTGATGCGGAAGGGTCCTTCCCACTTGTCTGCCAGCTTACCATGCATCCGGTTTCGTCTGGCCTCTCCCTTTTTCCGCCACACGAGGTCGCCCTCCTCGAAGGACCTAGACTTGATCTTGGTGTTGTAACGTCGAGACAGTAGCCTTTCTTGTGCGGCTGCCCGAATCATGGCGACTTCTCGTCGTTCTCCCAGCATGTCAAGGTTCATTCGCAACTGATCGTCATTAAGAGCCATGTCAGTAAGGTCACGCCTTAAAGTGGGTTCTCCTAGTTCCACTGGGAGCATGGCATCCGTGCCATACGTCAGATTGAATGGCGTGTCTCCTGTCGATCCGTGAGGGGTGCATCTGTACGCCCATAACACTTCTGGTAGCTCGTCCACCCACAATCCTTTAGCGCCGCCAAGGCGTTTCTTCAACTCATTGAGTATAGCTTTGTTGGCCGCTTCCGCTTGTCCATTGGTTTGGGGGTGCTCGACGGAACTAGTGACGTGTCGGATGCCCAGGTCGCGCAGGAACTTATCTAACTTTTTATCAACAAATTGTCTGCCGTTATCGGTGATGATTTTTTGAGGTAGGCCGAATCGACATACCAAGTGCCAGATGAACTTCTGTACCCGCTGGGCGCTGATGATGGAGAGGGGTTCAGCCTCTATCCATTTGGTGAAATAGTCAACGGCCACTATGAGGAATTTATTTTGAGCTTTGGCGATCGGCAATGGTCCGACTATGTCTATTCCCCACTGAGCAAATGGCCAAGGTGAGACGACGTAATGCAATTCCTCAGAAGGGATGCGGATGTTGTTACCATGAGCTTGACACGACAGACATTTTTTGACGAACGCTTCACAGTCGCTGTCGATAGTTGGCCAATAATAACCTGCTCGAAGTATGCATGCGCGTAGCGTGCGTTTTCCAGAATGGAACCCGCATATTCCTGTGTGCAGTTCGCGCAGAATATAATCGATTTCCTCGGTAGATACACATTTTAACAAAGGAGTAGAGTGGCCACGACGATATAGGTTATCGCCTATATGTAAGTAGCGAGCGATCCGTTTAGAGTCGCCCGCTGTGATTTGTTCCCCGAGCTCCTGTTTCCTCATCAAATCGCTCACCTCTTGTCTCCAATCAGCTTTGGGTGTGGTCAAATCGATTGTTAGAGTTTCCACAACGGGTTGGTCGTGTACCGACCTAATGACGGACGCTAGCTGCGTTTTTTCCTTTGCATGTGTTAATTTTGACAAAAGATCTGCTCTTGAATTTTGCTCCCTTGGGATATGGACAATGCAAACCTATGTAAAATCTTTGAGGAGGGCGGTTGCTTTGTGGAAGTAACGCAGCAGCTGATTGTCTTTGACCTGGTAGGTTCCGTTCATGTGTCCGACTACCAGCTGAGAATCCATCCTGCATTCTACAGCTGGGACTGCTAATTCTCTGGCCAGGGTTAGGCCAGCGATTAAGGCTTCATACTCGGCCTGGTTGTTGCTGGTTTGAAACCGGAAAGTGATGGCTTGTTCAATGATGAAACCGTTGGGCCCTTCAAGTACTACGCCCGCCCCGCCCCCTTTCTTGTCCGACGATCCATCTACATTAAGGAGCCATGTGGGCTCAGGGTCGTCCGGGATGGGGGTCAGGTCGACCACAAAATCCGCCAAGTGTTGCCCTTTGACGGATCCTCGGGGTTCAAATCGTAACCCGAATTCAGATAACTCTATCGACCATGACACCATTCTTACAGCTAGATCGGGTTTTCTGAGGATTTTAGCTATGGGGTGGTTGGTTCGAACGACCACCTGATGGCTCTGGAAGTATGGTCGAAGTCGTCGAGAGGCCGTGAGTAGTGCCAAGGCAAATTTCTCAATTTGAGAATATCGTTCCTCAGCCCCTTGCAATGTGCGACTGATGAAATATATCAGCTTAAGGGTGGGGGCTTCTTGAGTCAAAGCGGCACTTACGGCATGATGAGACACCGCAATGTATAACTGTAAGTCGAACTGATCGGTTGGTCGCGCCATGATTTGAGGATGGGTGAGGATGTGTTTAACCGCCCCGAACGCTTTGTCGCAATCTTCGTTCCAAGGCTGAGTGACGCCCTTCTTCATATTTCTTAGAATTGGTTTGATGTGCTCAGCAAGCTTTGGGATGAAACGAGATAAAGCAGTCACTCGACCCACGAGCCTTTGTACCTCTTTAAGGTTTTTCGGATTTGGCATTTCCAGTATGGCTTTGCACTTATCCGGGTTGGCTTCGATACCCCTGCGAGTGAGCATAAACCCTAGAAACTTTCCAGCGGGCACCCCAAAAGTACATTTGGATGGATTCAGCCGCATGTTGTACTGACGCACCTGAAGAAACACTTCCGCTAGATCTTCCAGATGCTGGTCCATAGATCGGCTACGGATGACCATGTCGTCCACGTAGACGTCCATACACTTTCCAATTTGATGATGAAAGATTTTGTCCATGAGGCGCTGGTAAGTAACTCCTGCATTCTTCAGACCGAAAGGCATCACCTCATAGCAATAATTTGCACGTTCGGTTATGAAAGCTGTTTTGCCTTGGTCAGGCCGGTACATGGGTATTTGGTTATACCCCGAATAAGCATCGAGGAAACTCAACACTGTATGGCCGGAAGCTCCATCCACCAACCGGTCAATGCTAGGAAGCGGGTATGAGTCCTTTGGGCAGGCTTTATTCAAGTCTGTGAAATCGACACACATTCGCCACTGTCCATTTGGTTTTTTAACCATAACCACGTTGGATAATCACGTCGTGTATGTCGCTTCCCTAATGAAGCGAGCGTCCAACAATTTGCCGACCTCTGCTTGTACGGCCTCCCGCTTCTCTTCTCCGAGCCTCCTTCTTTTTTGAGCGACCGGGCGCGCTTCTTTAAAAATTGACAATTTATGTGTCATTATTTCTGGGTGGATGCCAGGCATATCTGCCGCTGCCCATGCGAACAGGTCAGCATTGGATTTTAGTACTCTGGTCAGTTTGCGTTCGTCGTTAGATTCCATACCAGCTCCAATACATGTAGCTTGCGAGGAATCTATTCCTAGCTAATAGGCCTTAACGTCGCCCTGCGGGTGCAGACGTTCGTCCAAGTCGGTTCTTGGATCTAATTCAATAGCAGCTGTTTCGGCTCCTCTTGTTTTCCTGGGTGGTATGAAAGGAGTGACTTTTAGCCCGGCCACATAACATTGTCTGGCTGTTCGTTGATCAGCTCTCACCGTACATATGGATCCTTCTTTTGTAGGGAATTTCATGGCCAAATGCGGCGTGGAAACTATAGCTCCAAACTCATTTAGACAAGGTCGTCCTAACAAAGCATTATATGAAGCGTTCGCCTCCACTAGCAAGAATCTGACTCTTAATTCTTTCGCCACGTCACCTGCCCCTAGTCGAGTTCGAAGGTCGAGATATCCTCGTGTGTCCACTCTTTCACCTGCAAAGCCTATGATTTGCTCGTTGAATGGGGCTATTAAATCTTCGGACAAATCCATTTTCAGGAAGGTTGCCCAGTATAGAATATTGACTGAGCTACCTTGATCTACAAGCACTTTTGTCACCTCATATCGGGCTATCTCAGCCGTGATGACCATGGGGTCGTCCTGCTCCGAATCGGGCGCGTGAAAATCTGCATCGGTAAAAGTAATGCTGGGAAATGATCGGGGTTGTCTGCCCACCATGTGCACCGATTTTAGGCTTCTTAGGTGTCTCTTTCGAGCCGATGCCGACGCTCCCCCTCCTGCAAAGCCTCCGGATATGGTGTCAATTCGTCCCCGAATGGTCCTTTCTCGTTGTGGTTGTCTGGAACGACTCCGCGATCGTCGCCTGGATTCTTCCTCCCTACGCGACGATCGTTCCGGACTTGGACGAGCGCTTTCTCTTCTTCGGGGAGTTGGGGCTCGGGACGCCCTGTCCTTTACGTACTCCTGCAAATATCCTGCCCTGATGAGTCTTTCTATTTCCTCTTTCACCATATGACACTCCTCGGTATCATGGCCCTGGTTTACGTGAAGCCTGCAAGTTTTGCTTTCGTCAGCGTTTTTTGGAGTGGCTTTTCGTCGCACGGTAAGCAACTCGGCCTGTAGAGCTTCTTCTAACACTTTGGCCCTGGGGGCATTTAGTGTGGTGTAGCGGTCATACTTGGACGTCCACCCCGCCTCCTTGCGAGGAGGTCCACCAACCTTATAATCACCTAACGGTCGTTTGGTTTCTCTCTTGGATCCATTGCCAGGATTTTCTTATTGCTGTTTTTTCCTTGAGTTTCTGATATCCTCATTGCGTACGAATTTAGCTATCGTTTCTTGGAGCTCTTCGATAGACTTTGGAGGATCGGCATATAGTTGTTCGGCAAAGTAGCCTGGCCTCAGACATGAAGGTAGGTTGCTTATTATAAATGTGTGACTAACATCTTTCACACGCCTAGCTGCTTCGTTGTATCTCAACATGAAAGCCCTCAAGGTTTCATCTTTCTCTTGTTTAGTGTTTACCAGTTCTGCGGGGGTCATGTCTTGTCACCTGTTAGCGGCATACTGTTTGCGGAAAAGGGTTTTCACGGTAGCGAAGCAGTCAATCGAGTTTGGCGGAAGGGTGTGATACCATTCCAATGCTTCATCCTTGAGAGATAGCGAAAAAGCTCTGCATATTACAGGGTCGTTGTCTGTGTAGAATGCCATAGCACCTATAAAGTTTCGGAGATGGTTGTCAGGATCCGCGGAACCGTCATATCTGTCCAATGACGGCGGAGGCTTCTCCGGCATGTTGGTCTGCAAGATTGCCTCTGTAAAGGGCAGGAGGTTGGAGAGGCGTAGGGAAGCGGGTCCTTTTTTCCCTCCTGCACCCAATTCGGATGGCCCTCCATGATGGCTTCCCTCGTTGTCGTCCTGCCTGTTCGAGGTTGATGCTTCTGGTGGGGGTCGCTGCATCCTCAAGGCCGCGAGTTCCTCCGCTTGCCTGCGTTGAACCTCTTGCTGTTCCCGTATAACTTTGGCCTGCTCCTCTACTTGCGTTTGCAGCTGCCTAATCAATTCTAGAGTGCTGTTGTCTTCCATAGCTCCGGTGGTATTCTTTGGGTATACTAAATCTCGGGCCCCACGGTGGGCGCCAAATGTTTCGGTATAAATGTTGGGGGATCGAGATAATAACCTGTCTTTGCTGCTTCTATACGTATGGTTGCTCCGTTCTCCTATTGCGACACCACCTT